CGTTCTCCTTGTCCGCGGGCCACCGGTAGATGTAGAGGGACGTGTGTGTGGAGCCAGCGTCAAACACCAGACCGTACTGGGGAGGAGAGGGGACATGAGGTGTCAAGGTTGCAGACCAGGATCACCTGCTTCAGAGTGAGTGACAGAAGCTCCAGGAGAGCCATCGGAGGTCCTGGTGGGCAGGGGAGCCTTGAGTGGCCAAACAAACCTGGTGGTCACCAGGACAGAAAAAGTCTGGTGGCATTGCAGTTATGAGCTGTGCTGGGGACAAGGATCCATCCCAAGCCCCTGGAGCTGGCAGTGCTTTGGGATGAAAGAGCTGCATGTGCTGTGGGGCCAGGCACAGTGACCAAATACTGCCAGACCCACTCCAGTCTCTGCAGGTTGTTGTCCCCACGTTGGTGACAAATAGCACAGCCTGCCTGAAACCTGGGCAAAACCCAACACCCAACGGTAGCCAGCAGCCAGGTGAGAGCTTCGCTCCTCCCAAGGACCTTACCTTGGTAGGGAGCAGAAGCACATCCTTCACATTCACGACGCTCAGAATGAGGGCGATGATGCTGCAGACACAGGTGGCTGCCAAGAGACCAGCCTTGGCTTTGGAGTCCATTCCTCCTCCAACCTGCAAGGACAGCCCCAGCCCCCAGCTCACACCTCATGGATGGGTATGGCACTCTGCCCTTCCTGACAATGAAGCCATTCTCTGCTGCATGGTGGCTCTTAGCATGGAAGAGGATAATATCCACAGGCTCCTCTGGACCCACCCCAGTAGGGCTGTTGGCAGACTCCGAGTTGGGACACCCTGCCATTCTGAGCGCTCCCTTCTTGGAGATTTTCAATACAGCTTTTTCAGCACTGCCTTCTCACCTGCAGTCCCTCAGGTGCCTCTGTGCCTGGGCCCCAACCCTGCTCAAGCTGTTGCCTAGCTGGCAAGTCAGCATCTTCCTTCACAGCAACATCACTGGCACAGCCCAGCCATGGCTAGCTGGAGTTCCAAGCTGGGAGCAGGGTACCAGTGTTACCATCCCCTCTGGGGTGCAGAGCCATATCCTTCCAGCACCTACATGCTGCCACCTCAAAACCCATCCCAGAACACTTGGGACCAGGTCACATCTGTTGCCCAGGAGCCCAGATTGTCCCTGAGAGGGTCCTCTATGCTCCAGGCAGAGAAACAGCTGTGTGTCTCCTGCCTGGCCCAGGTCTTGCTGATGCCACAGCATGTCAGAGATGCGCAGGGACAGTGTCCATGCCTGGTGTGATCCTCACACCTCTCCTGCAGCCCCAAGGACAGGCAGGAGGGCAGAGGCAGGACACTACTGCTGATCTGGGCACACAGGCAGGCTGGAATGCCCACAGCGATTCCCCTTGGGGACTGGAGCACTTGCCCCTTGTCCCTTCAGAGCTCAGCTCCCAGCAGAAACAGCTGCCAGACACTAAGAAATTGTAGCAAAGAATCTGCTTCTCTGTGACAGCCTCTGCACAGGGCAGCTGAGATATCCATGCGCTCAGCACCTCACAGCTCGTCCAGATGTGCTTTTGGAAATGTACAGTTCTCCCTCCTCCTCCTGCACTGCCCTGCCTGGTGCCTGGAGCCACACAAGCAGGATTCCTGCTGCATCCTGCTGAGGCTGACCTCGCTTCACACTCCATCTAAAATCTGCAGATGGCCTGAGAGCTCTGGGCACCAGAGATGTGGTTTAACCCCACCAGTGCTTTGGGTGGAACCTGGAGCTGTCACTTGGCTACACAATTCTCCTGTGAGTGCATACAAACTCTGAGAAATTCCCCTGCCCTTTTCCCAGGTCAGTGGAGAGGAAACACCTATGGCAGGGTCAAAGGAGATGCTGATTCCTGTTTTGGAGTCAGCATCTCTGGCAATGGTGACCAATCTCCTGCATGGCATGAGATGCACAATGATGAACAGCAGCTGTTCTTCGGGCCCATGTCATAGGATGTGGGGCCACCAAAATTCCTTATCAGACCTTGTCCTATAAGCCAGGAGCCTTCCCTCTACAGTGGCTATGGCCAGGAGGGATTGTATGGAATCAGCTGATTAATCCCTGTCATAGGAACAGGGAATCATTAAGGACCTCTTTGAGATATTAAAGTGGTTATTGATTCAAAGTGATCTCAGACTCCAATCATTAACCCACCACCACCAAGACAGCCACTTAACTATGTCTCCAGTCCTACCATATCTGCAGTCCTACCAGCCCTGATGGAGTTTGTCCAAATATAGCTGCACCGTTAGGATTTGATTCATCTGCTCCAGGTAACAAACAAAGCAATGGGAAAAGTCTGCAGCCCAGCCTACATCCTGGAAAATTCCATGCAAGGCACTGTGAAATGGAAGGACATGAATTGGTGACAAATTGCACTGTTCTGCGTGCAGGAGAGGGTAGGAAATGGGCTCCTCCTGCTCTGCTAGGGACTAATTCCTGTTTTGACTGGACAGGGGGCAACACCCAAAGGCAGCACAGAGCCAGCTGTCCCAGGCAGGAGAACAGGACACAGAAAGGGAGCCCAGTGGGTGGGAAACAATGTGAGAAGCTGATCGATCTGCCCAGGCTTTCTGTGGCATCCTGGGGCTGGCCAGCTCCAGTGCCTGCTACCATCCGTGCAGGATCAGGGAGCAGCAGGACAGGAGAGTGGCGCTGATGCCTCCAGAGCTGCAGAGGAGGCACGACGCTGCACAGTGCCTGCTCATTTGCAGGTGTGGAAAGTTTCCAGCTGTGCCCAGCAGCTGGACCAAGTCTGCACTTGTTTGTGCAGGACTGGCCATGACAAATGGCTTGAAAATGACCTGTGGGACATCCCTCACTTGCAGCATCCCTTGTGCACAGGGAGCAGGGACTCAAAAATTGGGGCAAAAGGCTCAGAGCTACTGCTGGATCTCACCTGCCTGTTGCTCAGGACAATGGGGAGCTGACTCCCCACTGGGCACATCTGAGATTTGAAAGCCAAAAGGGCTCTGAATGTTCTAGGGGGGTGACTATGGATGCCAGGAGCATCCTTGCCAGGCAGAGCAGTTCCCTGCATCCCACCTCGCACCAACACTGGGGCTTGGCAGTGCCCTCCATGCCTGGCCTCTGTCCCCTCCGTTCCCCACTGCCCCCTGCACCTGGGAACCTCGTGCGGCGAGAGGTCGCCCCGGCCCTCTCGTCCTCCCGCACCGGCCCACGGAGCGTGGTTCCCCGCAGTACCGCCCCCGCTGCTGCCCAGGGCCCGCTCCCAGTCCAGCTCCACCGCGGGGCAGCAGCCCCCGGCCCCGGCTCACCCCGTCGGCTCCGGCCGCCGCTCCGGCACCGCCGCGCTCGCCCCGGGCTCAGCGCGCACCTGGAGCTGGGAGCCCGCCCCGGGACAAAGGCTGCCCCGCCGGCACCGCCTTCCCCTTGGCCCCGGACCAGCAACGTGCCCCGGAGAGCGCTTGTCCGGGAGGCAGCGGGGCTGGGGCTGGACAGCCGGGGTCGAAAGAGCATCCGGGATTAACCACTTCGCTGCTGGAGGAGCGGGACAGCCTGGCGCGCTCAGCCCGGGAGCGGGGGCGCTGCGCTGCCCGCCGGGATAAGCGGGGGAGATCCCAGGCAGCCCCTGCCCCCGGAGCCGGCGAGCGCCTGGCGCTGCTGAGCTCCGGGAGCCTCAGACACCCCTGCCAGACCTGCGGCACAAACGCCGTGAGGGGCTGAGCCTGTCCGGTCACCCTGCTGCCACCCTGCCGTCACCCGGCTCTGCAGGACCCCCACTGTCCTGCTGCAGACCGAGCCAGGCTGGCAGCGGGGCTCGGGACAGAAACAGGAAAGACCTGGCTGGTGAAGAGCTGTCCCCACAGCCATCCACGTGGGATCCATCCCCACAGGCAGGTACCGAACTGTCCCCACGGTTAGAGCCATTGCCAAGGGGCCCCATTGCCAGGGTCCCGTCTGACCCCGTAGCCAGCAGCTGTCCATGGCCAGAGTGCCGTGGCTTTGGGACAGTGCGGGCAGGGAGCGGGCAGGGTACGGGCAGAGATGCAGGCAGACGTACCGGCAGATAGGGCAGGGGCGCAGGGAGAGGCACAGCCAGTGAAAGGCAGGGAGCAGGCAGGGTACAAGGAAGGTACAAGCAGGAGGACAGGCAGGGTACAGCCAGGGAGGGGAAGGCAGGAGCCAGGCAGGCCGGGGCCGGCTGTCCGGCGCGGGCAGCGGCAGCCCCGAGCTCCCCGCTCCCTCCGCCCGCGGCAGCGCCCAGAGCCCGCCCCGGCCGGGGCCGGCCCCGGACGTCCGAGAGCGGCTCAGCTTCGCTTTCGCTTCACTCTGCTCTGCCGGGGCGGGCTGGGCCCGGAGCCGGCGAGGAACGGGCTGTGCCCCATCGCCGCCCCACGGAGGGACGGAGAGGGCTCCGGGCACAGGTACGGGACGGCCGGACCGCGGCAGGCGGGAGCTTCACCCCTGGCGGCTCGGGGCCAGACAAGTTCACAGTCTCCCCACCCGCCCAGCTCGTGTCCCAGGGGTCACTTAGGGGGTGGGGGTAAGCTGCAGGGAGAAGTGGACCTCCGGAGGGGCTGGAGGCTCGGGGCAGAGGACGGCCGCTCGGGGCTCCTCTGGCAAAGTCCCCTCCTCCTCGCAGACCCTCCCAAAACCATCCCTTCACACAGACCCTCCCAAAGATGCCCCGTTCCATAGATCCTCCCAAAGACCATCCCTCCCCCCAAACCCTCCTCCTAAAGACCCTCCCTCCCCACACACCCTCCTCCCAAAAGCCGCCCCTGGCCACAGTCCCTCTCTGCAGACCCTCCTCCTAGAGACCGCGCCTGCCCCAGACCTCCCAAAGACCATCCCTCCGCAGTGACCCCTCCCCAATCCATCCCTTCCTGCAGACCTCCCCAGCGCCCATCGATGGCGCCGCGCCTGCTCAGGCCGGTGGGCTGGGGCTCGGCGGCCGTGCTGGGACTGCTGACGGTGGTTGTCTTCGTCCTGGTCCTGATCCCGGCAAAGGATGCTGTCCTTCCTACCAGGATCAAAGTAGGTGTCCAGTGAGAACTGGGGGAGCCTGGGAATGCCATCAACCCCTTTCTACCTGGACTTCTTCCATCAGACCCACCTTCCTCCCAGCTTGCGAGTTTCCCCATAACCAGGTCAGCTTTACAGGACTTAGCCTCATCAAGGTGGCACTGGGCAGATCAACCTCCCCCAAACCACGGTTCTGGTTGCTTGGTAAGGATGGAAGAGAGAAGTGCACCCTTCTCTCCACAGTTGATCCATCTGCCACCACAGTCACTCTCCTCCCTGTTTTCAGATATCCAGGTCACCTGCTGGGTTCAGGCCCCTCTTCCCTTCTGCTTTCTGCTGCTGGTCTGATAAAAAACGTCAGGTTTTGTGAGATTTGGCAAAGACCTGGGAGCAGCTTGAGCCCTTTGGGCCATGCTCGGATGCCTCCCTGCTCTGCGATCACCCCACTGACCTGCGTGTCCTTCGTGTGACTCACTGGAGTGGCAAACCCGGGGCAGTTAGAGGTGGAGCAGGGCTGCTGAAGGGACGGTGATGTGCAGACCTCTGCTGCTCACAGTCGTACATGGGAAGCAAGAGCAGAAGCTCTCAGAAACCCCCATGGCACTTGGTGCAGCCCCGAGCCCCGTGTCCCCTCTCCTCCCCAGTACGGTCTGGTGTTTGACGCTGGCTCCACACACACGTCCCTCTACATCTACCGGTGGCCCGCGGACAAGGAGAACGACACCGGCATTGTGTCCCAGGTGGAGGCCTGCTCTGTGGCTGGTGAGTGCCGGGATCTGCCCTTCCTCTCTCCCGGCCTCCTGGATCGCTGTCCCAAACTCTCACAGCACCGTCACTGAGCCGAGTCTTTCAGCCTGCTCTGGGCTGAAGGGAGATTGCTCTGTCAGGAATCACAGGAAAGGGTCAGGGGATCGTCTGCACCTGAGGGAGCCCTACAGCCATTGAGAGGTGCAGAGGTGGGGGAGGAATTGGGCCCTCACTTAGCTCAGGTCCTGCAGCCAGTCCTATCCAGACAGGCATCACCTCACAGCCTGGGAAGCCGGATGTGCCCTGTGCTCCTTCTCCCCTGCCTCGGCTTCCTTGGCTCTTCTTAACACAACTGCCCACACCTTGTTTCATTATGTGAGGCTTTGTGTGCCCACAGGGCCTCCCCAAACCTCTGCACAAGTCCCTTAGCAATGCAGTGTCTGCACCGAGGTGGTGCCTGACAGCTCCTGGGGCAGCAGTTGGCATTTTGGTATCTGCAGCTCCAAAGCGAGCAGGGCTGGGGCTATGGCTGGGACACCTGGGTGTGTCAGAGCAGGCCAGGAGAGCTCTCGGGGGAATGGGTGAACATGTCCCCCGCTGTGCCGTCCCTCCGGGGTGGCGCTGGGCTCTCTCCATCACCGATTCCCTGTGGCAGGACCTGGCATCTCCAGCTACGCAGACGAGCCCGCGGGGGCTGGCGCCAGCCTGAAGCCTTGCCTGGACAGGGCCATGAAGATCGTCCCGGCCGAGCAGCAGCGGGAGACCCCCACGTACCTGGGGGCCACGGCCGGCATGCGGCTGCTGAGGTACCGGCACGGCCAGGCCGGCGCCTGCCGCCCTCCCCGGCGCTCCTGCGCCGCGCCAGAGCCGGGGCTGGCACCGAGGCACACGGGCCGGGCCACAGGGGTGCTACCCGGCCAGGCCGTGGGGATGGGCAGAGCAGCCCTGGCCACGGTGCCGCGGAGTGCCGGGAGAGCCGCTGGCCGTGCCCGGGGGACGCGCCCGGCCCTCTGCAGAGCCAGCCCGGCAGCAGCCCCAGAGGGGATGAGCCCCCTTTGCCAGAGTGGCACGAACTTTCCCAGGGCTCCAGCAGAGCCTGCAGGCAGCGGTTTTAGGGAGATTCCCAAGGCCCCGGGTGAGGGATTTGGGGTTTGCAGGAGCCACCTGCAGGCAGGGAGGTGCTGGAGAGATGTCTCGGAGCAGCTCCTGGGCAGGGCGCAGCAGCCTCTCAGTGCCAGCCCCGCTGCCAGAGCTGCCAGCCAGGCCTGCAGCACCTGAGGTGTTTGTGCTTTTGCTGGCAGGGAGGAGAACGGCACCAAGGCCGAGCAGGTCTTGGCCGAGGTGTCCAAGGCCATTGGGGAGTACCCTGTGGATTTCCGCGGAGCTCGGATCCTGACGGGGAGCGAGGAGGGCTCCTTTGGCTGGATCACTGTCAACTACCTGCTGGAGACACTGGTCAAGGTGCAGCTGGGGAGAGGG